AGGGTAGGGCACTGCTCACCTCCCCACCTCTGAACAACACTCGGGCACATCTGAGGTGCTATGGCTAAATGTTTAACATCAGCAGTGGAGATCTCATAAACAAACTTCAAAGTGAATATTTCACTAGGCATATGTAAGTACTTATTAAGATTTATATCACATCTTCAGTGCCCTTGACATTTTACAATAGCGTTTATTTCCTTACTTGCTAATTCACAGAACTGGATAATCTACAAGGAATTTACACATTCGAAAGGAGCAAGATTCTTAGGCATAACTTCACAAATACCACATTAACACGACAACATTCTTGTATAAACATACACAATGCTAAGCAGGAATAAAGCATCTCCTAAGGGCAGAGAAGGCTCTGTATGCCACTGCTGTGTACGCCGGAGGCGAAAGGACCGTTTGTCCTGTGAAGCAGCGCTCCGTGCTGCCTCCCGGGGCTGAACACGCAAGAGGAAAGAGGCTGGGAATTAGGTCGGTGAATCAGTGACCCTCCAGTTGTATCAGCCCAGCACTCTTGTTAGGGGAGGGGCGATAAAACAATTCTAAGGCTAAAACAGCTCCATGAAGATAATGAGATCTAGCCTACAAACGTGGATTCCTTTTTTTCCAATGAAGAAAGAGCCCATGAGTAGTCTATGTACTGTGGCTATTTATAAAGTCCAACTTGTGGCCTGTATCCACAGTTATTAGTGCTCATATGTAAGATTAAAATGAAAATAAATCCCATTATAATGAATAATTGTATTTTCACCTGGTCACTAATGGGACATCGAAATCATTCTGAGACATCATTTCAGAGAGACACCTAATGAAAGTGTTCCCAACAAAAAGTTTTAAAAATTAAATTGGGAGTTTAAAGATTCTTCCGTAACGCCAGGGAGTAGTGAACAGTTTTGGAGAGGGCACACACTGTAACTAGATGCAGGCTTTTGTTATTCTGTTAAGGATGTCAGAGGCATTTTCTTTTTTCCCTGACTCATCCTTTTCCCTAGTGGATACTCTGACCCTTAGTCCTGGCAAATCCAGCAGTACCAAAAAGTTCTCTCTGGTACCTCATTAATCACTCCCCTGCCATGTTCTATCTTACCTGCAGATGTAATTCTTCTTGCAGGATTCTTGTAAATTCAGGCAGTTTGGTTTCTCCCTGTCCTCATATGAACACACAGGAACAATAGTCTGCCGTCTCCTTTCTGTACAGGCTACGTCTCGACAGGAGCAGAAGAGCATCCCATAGCTGTGCTTTGGGGGAACTTTGTCAAAAAATAGCCGGAGGGCCTTATGACACTTCCGCTTGTTACAGATTTCATTAGACGTGCTGCTGGTGCAGGGGGTTATGTAAGCAGATCTGAACCTCTTGCAGGTATCATTTAGGTTACAAGCTTTTGCTGCATCCAAGCAATTGTTCCCCTTTGAAAGTACTGGCTCCACTAGAAAAAACAACACAACAGCAGTAAGAAATGCGTCACATTTATATTGTGTTTCGATCTTTTGTGTTTACTTCACTGTTAATGAGACCCTGATCATATATTTGTTACACACAAAACTTTCAGTGCCAGAAACTGCGACCACTCCTTATGTTTCCGAGGGTAGTGGGTTAACGAGCGGACAAGAGCACAGGCATGCGTTCAGACCTGAATGCTGGCAAATAAAAGGCCATTACACTGGGCAAAAGCTGTACTTGGTCCTCTCTGTAGCAGACATGCAGGATGAACATTGGGCAAGAGTTGGCCTCACTAAAAAGCTGTTAAAATCACTGGTAAATAGGAACGGACACCTTTGGCCCATTGCAGAAGAACACAGTGAGAACATGGGTTCCTAACTCTGGTTTGGTAAAGTTCCAACATTTTTAAAATTTTTTTCCTTGAGCAGTATGAACGACATTCAGTGTCTACACCAGGTAACAATATTTAAATGCAATTTGTATACTCTGCAGAATGTAAAAGCCACATGCCTGTTGCTACCGGTTTTGAGATATGAAAACAGCCTACCCAGCCAGAAAGGAAAGCAGGTGCAGCCCCACCACTGTGAGCTCTCTAAGGCCACCCAGGAGGCCCGTAAGCTCCATGCTTAGTTAAAGACACTTCTATAAGATCTATAGATGCCACCTGAACCCTGGAAATTTTATGAAGTTTAGGCGCTTTGAAGAAGCTGATAGAATTAACGAGTGACTGTAAAAGAAACATTTTAAAATAAGGAGCATGTCTCTCACACACACACATGCACACTCTAAAAGAAGTTATAGAAAAAATTAAACTCAGACAAAAGTTAAGACTATAATTACACATTTAATTTTGCAATACATTATCCAGATATTAAAACTCAGTATATGCTTTGCTTGAAAATGAAGGCAACTGGCATTAGAATGCAAAATACAATGAAGAATAATTGTAATGCTGCTTTGGATATTAGGAATGCCAACATTACAGATCCAAGAAAATACATGAACTTCCCATCGCTACAGAATTTGCAAGCTGAACAAAACATTTTGCAAATATCTAAAACTCTGCAGTAACCTCTTAGGGGAGTTGGCCAAAGATAAAACATCTCAAATGATCTAAAGCTCCAAGTTCCTCTTAAAAACAGCCTTTTTTCTAGATCTTCCACCTTTTCCCAAAAACTCAGTCCAAGGCCCTTCTACAACTCAGTGCCACTCTTCTTCATTCTCCTACCCCTTTGTCTCCCATTCCCAGATCAGGACGTCAACCTTTTATCTTTTTCCATGGCAGGAAAAGATGATGTAGCTTGGGAGACACACCGCACTGAGGTACTGCATTGCCTGAGCTGACTGTGCCCAAGATGAGCCTTGGTGCGAGCACACACTTCACGTTATACAAATACATCATCTGCTACTATCCCTGTATCTTACCTATCCAGAAATAATGCCGTGCATAAGTAGCATTGGATTTGTTTTTCGCTCTAGTGATATGCTATAACTACGTTCAGTGGATTCATATGTTTAGCCTTTGTACATCTAACACTCACACTCCAAGTCCTTCCCTATCCCAGCTTCTTGCGCAATAAACTGCAATTTTTTGCTTCTTATCTTACAAATTGCAAAACTATAAACATGCAACATTTGACTATACATTAACAGAGCCAAGCATTTCTTATAATAGCAGCCTACCAGTTTAAGCAACACCAGATGCAGAAGAGATGAGACATTCAAAATACAACTCTCTCATAAAATTGTAACATTTTTATATATAATGTTGAACTACATTAGCATACAACTATAACCTTAAATATGAACTCTCAAAGTTTTTTAATAAAGTATATAGAATTATATGTTTAGTACAAATATAATTACTATGTAATCTGCAGGGCATATAATTATGCAATATACGAATAGTACATACTAATTACTATGTGATTGCAATGTAATTATATGGTTATGTGTGTCTGGGAGTCAACTGCTGAATCCCACTCTTTAAAACAAGAGTTTGTGGAAGAGCTCTGAATGGGGCATTTCAATACCAACAGGCGTCAGCTTACCGTATAACATATTATAAAGCATTCTTTAAAAGAAAACCCAAGATGTAATAGAACACCTCTTTGCTGATAATCATATACCTATTTTCCATTAAGGGTCCAAAATGTAGTAAATGCAGATACAGAATTAAAAAGCACTGTGAATATGGACACCTCAAAAACCAAAAGGGAAAGTTAATTCATCTTTTTAAAAAATAGAGCACAAGCCAATTCACTGACCAAGCAAACAGCGTTGAAAGTTATCTTGGAGGAAAGTTGAATTAGGTGTAAATTGTTCATAAACAATAGTTACGTTTATTTGTATCTTTCATACAACTTTTTATCTACCCAAGACTTGCATTCCTCTACATGTCAACTCTGAACATGGACCAGGTCTTTCGGTGTTTGGCTGTTTTTTTCTAGAACTACCTCTGGCTGTAACTTGCCACCTGCCTTTTCTATTTTGATACATATGTCTCTAGCTATTATTTCTGGCATATTTATCATCACATTATACAAATTATTTGTACCTTTTAAGACCAAGACTAACATACAGCACATAGAGATGCATCAACTGCATTTGAATTAAACAAGTCTGTCTATATCAACTCTTCTCATTAATTCTAGCTTCTCCCAAGCTTTTAAATCATGTTTTAATGCAAAATTTACAATCCAGAACACACTTTATGCTTTATTTTTATTGCAAAAGTACAATGTAATTATTTCTAAGTCCTATGGTAACTACAAACAGTTAACAACACTGAGTGTTTCTGAGGATTACTTACGCAGCAGTAATACCTAAGGTCAAAATTTCACCCAGCTTCTGTTCTGTAAAGTTTAAATTATTAAGACAGGTGGGAGTTTGGCTCTTACTAGGTACTGACTACGTTACGAGCAAATGGATCTAATCCAGAGCTACTTTTCCTGACAGCACCCTTTGAGAAAGGTCTGTGTAAGGAGATCTTTTTTCAGTTTCCCCCTCTCTTGGGACACTTGGATATGGATCGGGGGCTGTCAGAGCAGCAGCCTGAGTCAAGTAACAATTTCTTCCTGCCACTATTTCCCTACCCAGAGCTTCCTCCCTCCTGAGTCCGCTTTGACTTGGGCCCATTCTGGAAATCTCTGCCAAACCATGCAGCTCCCTGCTCCCACCAGATCACTGAAGACTCTGATGTTAAGACATCCAGGCAGGTGGTAAGTGATGCCTCATGCCTGTGTGTGAGGCATCGGTTCCCACCTGCGGCAAGGAGCCCAGCAGAGCAGATCTGCAAACACCAGGATGCAGCCTCCCATCAGAAGTCACCAGTGGTTGCAGCAGCAGCTCCCAACATCCAGAGAGTTAAGATACCCAAAATTGTCTTCCTACCAGGCAGTTTGCTGTATGCCATGCGCAAAAACTCTGGGACAGGAATAATTGGCTTACTGACACTGATTGCCAGCTACCAGCTCTTCTACTGCACGTGTAACACGTGCATACGAGGTGAGATGTTTTTCTGATAAATTCTACTGATGGAAACCCAGGCCTTGCCTTATAGTATAAGGTGTTACCACTTTGATATTATCTCCTGACCCCCCCCTACCCTGGCCCAACATTGTCACATCTACAACAGTTCTCGACTCAAGCTCCCATATGACCACAGGAACAAGCCAGCCAAATGCTCCGGTCTTTTATCCAGAGATGTTCCTCAAGTTTTAATAGGGCTTCCTCTGCCCTGTGTGATCTTCGTTATGCTTCACCCTCTTTCACAGTCTCTTCACCTTAATCTTTCATCTTCCTTGCATTTCCATTTCTATTTCAATTCTGCACCTACTGAGCCTTTGGCTGTCTCCTCAACTCCTGTTAACCCCATGGTGCCCAAGAAAGGATTCTCAGGGGATGGTGGGAGCTTCTTATTCGTGCTCCCACTAGACGGAAGGAGCGAAAGGACTATTACTTTTTCTATAAGATTCTTATTAAACAGCAAAATGGACACTTAGTTTTCAATTTTCTTACAGCACATAAAAAGCAATTTACTGAGGTTGCCATTAAAATTGCAATTACTATTTGCAAGGAATTAGCATTCGTAGGTTTTCCAGGGGTTTTAGTGAAGGGAATGCTGTAAAGAGAGTAGTAAATGTTAACATGATGGAAGGCAAAATTACGAAACGATAGAGGTGACCACATGGGTATGGGCCTACTCCAACGCAGGTGCAGAATGTGGCTTATAGGAACCAAAAACTGACCAGAAAAAAGAGGAGAACCATGATCCCACTTTAACAAAAGTGCTGCTACGGGGTTCTCCAAAGTACTTCTGCTTTGTAAGAGGCACAGATTAAAAAATAAGGTAAGCATGGGAAATATTGTCATCTGCATCTTCATGGATTCAAGTAAACTACCAGTTTCCTGGACAAATTATTTCTAAACACCAATGGCAGAGTAAAAAAGAGACAGCCCTGAGAAATCATGAGACTGATACACATACATGTTATTTTGAGGTTCTACTTGCCTTCTACTCAGCATTTAGAGAATATTCAAGTCTACTTCCAGACTTTTCCAGAATCATAATAAGCAGGTGCTTTACTTTTTAAACTAAAGCTAATACATTATCAGCTATACCCAGGGCTTTCAGAGTACTACCAAATATGACAAGATGCATGTTGAAATTACAATTGATGGCAGCAGTAGGTACAACAGGTGACAGAAATGTTGAGAATGACTTCTGTGTGCAGAAGGGCACACACAGGGCTAGAGCAACAAAAGGACCTCAACAAACAAAACTGCCTAAACCGAGACTTTAGGTTCCTGAGACCAAAGCTAGAACATTTTACATTCCTGGTCAGTCATGTAAGTCTTTGATAACACAAATTCCACAGGTTCCTAGAACTGTTTTCTGAATACACCCATAAATCTTCTTAAGGAAGTAAAGACTGTCTGCTGTTCAGGTCTTGTAGAGATCAATAGCATTTACATTGCTTAGGG